GCCGTCTTTCCTCCGTTAGAGACTGTCCACTGATGTCTCTGAGCTGGGGTCTGTACATCAAGCACCTGCAGTGTTTGCTAAAATGCAGATTCCAGGCCACACTCCCATAGGTCTGAGCTGCTCCCAAGAATCTGCTTTTTCAAGAAGCACCCAGTGACTCTCAAAAGAGTGAAGTGATGGTTGGACTGTGAGAAATACTGGAAGAGCCAGCTCTGTTTTCTTCTGCTGTTGCTTTCAGAGATATCTGCTGTGTGCTGGTACCCAAGCTCAATGGAACGTATGTGAATCACAGTGTTTAAGAGTGTGATTCCTGTCTTTAGGTTCTCTTATACACTGCCAGGAGTTGAAACACTCAGGGGCTGCAGAAACACTGAAAGACAATTTTGTTGTCATAATCTGCCCTTAACAAAGTGACCCCAGAGACTGCTGACCCCGCCACAGTGGAAGTGGACCCGTGGCTACCAGCCAGGCTGCTTTCTTCTGGTCTGTGTGGTTCGCTAGGCAGCACCCGACAGGACTGATCTGGGGGCTGTCTGAGAGGGGTGGCGTCTCCAGAGCGGGCGAATGCTGACAGTGACATTGGAAGCAGCTGCCTTTCTCGCAGTGCTGATTTGCTCCCCAAAACAGCCCCAGACATGGAGGTCTTGGAAAGCAGATCTTCTAGCCAGGTTTCTACCTGCAGTTTCTACACATTCTTTCATGTTCTCCATCACTCCTACTTCCTTCTATCCTTTTCTTTTTTCTAGTTCTTTTTCCTTCCCTTTGTGCATAAGGAGCAGGGAAGGAAAAATGATTCTGTGTAGCCTGGCACTGCACACACAGGCCAGCGTGCCAAACTTCTGCCCTTTATGATGTCCCATCGCCCTTGGAGGGACCCTTGGATACAAACTTCACGTAGGTATTGGCCTGAAATTGGCGAAACTTGGATTTGAAAGCCACTGTGCCCTACTTTAAAGAGCAAAAGCAATTGTACGGATGCTCTCTGGGTGGGAGTGGAGGAGGGTTAGGCAGTAGCCACAGGCAGAGTTTGCCTTGGCCTCTCCCTGAATGCTTATCTCCTGGTCATGGGATCGAGCTTCTTCCAGCCTCCGGCTGCCTTGTTTGTCTGTCCTGTGGCGACTGGCTCTCCGAGGAAGAGCTACCTTGTCCAGCATTTGGATAAATCAGATCATCTTCCACCCTTGGATCTGAGCACATTCTGACTCAGCAGGAGGTCAGAATCACTTCCCACAACAATATCAGAGAAAGCAAGAATATAGCAGGCAGAAGAACACAGAGCTGTCATTTCCCCCTAAGCATAATTGTTCCTATTTTAATAATTCTTATGGAAACTAGTGCATGGGTTTCTGGAGCAGCAAACAGAACTAGAAAGAAAAGCACTGCCTCCCTCTCAGCTCCTCCCACCCACACACATGCACCTCTCCCCTCTATCAGCTGCAGCCTTCGCCTCAACCTTTCAAAACCCATCTCTTGCCTTCCTTGTGTGGTTAGGGTTCAGGCCTCACCCTCTCCTAGGCTCTGCAGCCTCGCTTCTAGCCAGCCACACCCTCACTGAGCCTTCTACATTTCAGATGCTAAGGTGATCCCAGTGTGGGTTTCCAAGCCTTGATGATGACCCCTGGGGCCCAGAGGCTGAGGCCTGAGCAGCTTACCTTGTCAGAGGAGGCTTCTCAGGGTCGGCCAGCTGCTCCCTGGGCCCATAGGCCCCGGCCTTGCTGAGCTTCTGGCAGCTCCTCAGCGTGCTGCTGCCTCTCCCTCCTAGCCCTCTGCCGGGAACAGCACCTGGCTTCACCACCTGGCTTCACCACCATAGTCTTTAAAGCAAACCTCAGACGTCTGCCCTTGGAAAAAGCCCTCTGAGGCCTGCCCCCTGCGACAGCACAGGGCACGGGCCACATTCTCTGCACCTCTTTGGCACCGTGCATCCCTCTACCGTGGTTCTTCAAATATGGCTTCAAGCTGTGGTTGGCTTTTCACTTGCCTCTCCCTCATTGGCCTGTCAGCTTCTGGAGGGTGAAGAACTCTGCCTTCAGATTCTTGGGGCTTACACACAGCGGGAGTTTAATATGTGTTTATGAATCGCATTCATTCTTTTTTCAAAAGAAATTCATAAAAGTCAGAGAATCAGAGCAATTAAATTGAGAGCAAATGTTCCGGGCTGAGGAATCTTGCCCTCCTCGCGGTCTAGCTTCCCTGCTCACAGAGGCCCCTGGGGTTCCTCGGTGCCGCAGAGGAGAACTAGGGTGCGGGCTGTGGTCAGAGTGGGCCTGCCCCACAGACTGGGAGAGCTATGCGTCTGTGTTGGCCTTTGCCAGCCTGGGCCTCTGGTTTGCTGTCTGGGTGCCAATCATCTTCGGTAGGAAGTGAGACGGTGCCAGGCCCACACACTTTCACTTTTACCCGTCCTCTGTGTGCTGGGTGTTCAGGCATTAGGAGGACTGGGCCCTGTTTGAGCCTTGATGAGATCATGTTTCATGATCCCCCTACAGTGTCAGTGTAACCTCAAGCCGCTCTGAGATCAGAGTCCGGTGGGAGGCGGCATTCTGCAGATCGACTCACCCTTTCAATTTGTTGCTTGGCTGCCTGGCATGGTGTCTCAATGGTCCCCTGAAACCTGTACACATTGTGCATGCCATGAAGGACGAAGGCCAGAGTGCTTGCCTCCTGCTCACTGGAAAGAACTTTAGAGTTTCAATAACAAATATTGATTGAGCACCTTGGATGTGCAAGATTCCGCCCAAGCACTATGGGTGATCGTGAGGCTTTTGTGGGTGATTCGGGAGAGGGTCGTCTATAAGCAAGGCATCGAGACATGAGAGAGCGGTATGTGGTCAAGGCTAGGAATGACTCTGGTGTCTCATGCTTTACAGGAAGAAACACTGTGTACTGCACAGTGTAACAGACATGTGTTTAGGTCTTCTTGACTCGTGATGGGCTTTACCCTCTGTATTATTCCGGTCTTGAAGTTAGGAAATGAGAACCCTATTGTGTGGTGGCTGTGAGACCACAGTTACACCGGAAGATGGGCCAGTAGGGTGAGGGTAGATGGTTCCAATTCCTGAAGGGTGAGCTGGGTGTTTGGGAGGGAAAAAATGGTCCCTGCTGTATTTGCCTACAGCAGATGGGATGGCCTCAGAGAGAGAGGGAAAAGGGATGGGGGGAGGAGGGAGGGAAACAGAAGCAGAGGGAGAGGAGGAAGGAGGAGAAGAAGAAGGAAGAGAGAGAGAGGAAGAGAGGAGAAGAAATGAGGGCAGTGAGGACCCTTCCTGAATCCAGTGGAAGTGAGAACAGTGTTGGAGAGGTTGATTGAAGCCACTTCCTGGAACATAAAGGTTGAAAGAGAGGAAGATTTTCCAGGTAGAGAAATAGACACTGTCTGTGCAGCCACTGGAGAGGAGGAGACGCAGGAGGGAGGAGGTGAAAGGTGAACTGTTGAACACATTTACTTTAGCCCTGTCCATTAGCATTTCCCTCCCCTGGGGCCCTCGGAGACCCCTTCTGACCTCTTAGGAGAGACTCCCTGGCTGGAAAGCCCGCGGGTTCCGGCAGGGGCTCCACAGGTCTGTTCTTCCCTGCTCTTGGATTTGACGCTGGCTCCGCAGACAAACCTTTCTGTACCAAAAGAAAAGAAAAGGAGCAGAGGCCTAGGTTTTTTCCTTTGCAAATGGTACTTTCGATGAACTTGGGCTGTAAGTGAATTGATCGTTACATTTCTTAGCTCATGCTTCATTTTCTTAGAGTAGAAACAGTCTGACTTTTTGTTTCTTCACCTTTTCTAAAAAACAACAATATTACATGTGTGAGTAGACATTAGATGGACCAGGTACAGAATTTGAAAGCACAAAGGGGTCGACAGTGACCAGTAAGTCTTCTTTCATATGCATTTTCAGCCGCCCCGCTCTCTCTCCTGGTAACCAGAACCTCCAGCTTCTGGCTTTGGTTTTACGGTACTTCATTGCTCTCTGTGTAGTGGAAATTGATTCACCAGATAGACGAAGGCCATCCTGTGACCAGGCCCTGGCTCTAGAGCTTTAGTTGGTAATATCTAAGAACTCTAGTTCCATGCCCATCAGGTGGCTAGAAAGAAGTGGCAGTGCCACCATGGTTAGTGAGCGTGTTAGCATCTGCAGGTGATGCCAGGGCCAGTTCAGCTCAGAAAGCTGTGGTGTGCAGGAATTTTGAAGAGCTGTATTCTCCAGCTCAGACCCAACCTTATATTTCTCTTCAGATCACAAGATTGGTAGCTCCCTTTCACGGTTAATAAGAGAACTCCTGTGGGTAAATGGCTCAGATGAATGTCTATGTATTTACTTTGCCATCTAGCACAAAGCGTACGTCTTACATACTCTGGTAATTCTCAAGGGCTTGCATCTTTCATCATGAGGTCACGGAGATGGCAAGTCCATCTGAGCCACCCTTATACCGTGCAGGTGAGTGTCAGGGAATGTTCCTAGTGATCCCTAGGGAGATTGTCATTGACCCTTTCTCCAGCCTAGTTGCTGACTGCCAGGCAATAAGCCCTGGCTTCTCGACCCCATCCAAAAGTTGACATTGCAGGGTTTTCAGGACAAAGAGATCACCGCTGTGTCCTGGCTCCAGCTCTGGTTGACAGGAGTTCATATTGGCCTCTCTATCTCTCCTCCACCCTAGATTCCATAGCGAGGAAAGGGAGAGTAGTGTGGTTTGATTAGTGACTAATTATGACTTGTTTCTCTTTTTAGGAACTTATCTTCCATCTCCCTGAGAAATAAGGAAGTAAGGGTTGCAGATACAGAGCACTGGACTAAGAGTCCATAAAACTAGATGTTACTCTCATTCAACCTGGGGTGTATCACTACTCTTCTCTGGGCCTCAGTTTCCCCATCTGAACAATCAGATTGAATTGCGTGATCTCTAGGGTCTTTCCATAGGAGTTGGGGCCGCCTGTGCCTATAGTCTGTGTCCCTGCCCCAGAGCCCGGATGTTGATGACTGATTTGGATCTCTGCTTTGTGCTCCTAGGTATTCTTCGTGTCGGACCTCTTCAAGACCAAGACAACACTCTCCCTGCCTCCCACTGCGATCAGGAAGGAGGTCCTCTCCCCTGTGGATGTCATTGACAGGAACAATCGCCACAACATGGTGTAGGTGCTGCCCGCCTCCTGCGTGGGTCCTGTAAAGTGACTGCTGACAGCAAGTTCTTGCTGCTCTCTCCAATCTCATCAGACAGTAGAATGTAGGGAAAAACTTTTCGCCCAACTGATTTTAAAAAAAGAAAAAAAAAAGTCTTACTTTGTGGCCTTCCAGAATAGGTAGTGCTCACCTATGTGGAAACGACAGCAGAATGACACCGAGTGTGGAGGCGCAGATGTGCAATGGGTTCCGTGTTCAGTTCTAGTGAGCATGGCCCGTTCAGGAGCGAGCAGTAGCATGATGTGAGCAGAGGCTGCTGGGCTCCTTGCGAGCTGAGAACCCCCAGGCCTGTGAGAAAAGCGCAAATTCGCACGGTAGCATGCGGAGCCAGATCACACTGAGTGCAGAACTTGGCCGTGGGGCTCGCCTCTCCCAGCCCTCTGCCCATCCCACTCAACTCTCCACTGTGACTTTAGTGCAGGAAGTTTTGTTTCGGTTTTTAAACATAAGGAACGAGCAGGTTTGCTTGGTCCGGGGATCAGACCCTGAATCCAAATCCCCAGTCCTAAGGCCTTCGTCACCTTTCCAGTCCACAGCCGCGGCCCCTCACAATAGAGATTAGGAGACTCTTTGTGGAAGAGTGAACTTCACAAATAGCACAATTTCAGAAGAGATGGAGGGCACAAGCCCTCCTGTGTCTTCTTTGACTCGTCACCCTGTGGTGTGGAAATGTCGCACACAGGATGCCGATGTGTACACGAATCACCGGGCACTTCACACTTAGAAATGGCTAGACTTTGGTTCTTGTGGTCTCCCTTGAAATCATTGTGTGTGCCTACGGGGATTTCTGGTGAGGGTCCAGAGATGAGCAGAGGCATAGTCTGGCTTCTGTGCAAGACACAAGGGAGCAGAGGGGCAGAGGGAAAGGTGACCACCCTTTTGGCTACTGGAAGCCAGAAGGAGCCAGAATGGCAGATGGTTTCAGGCCTGACAGGCTGCCCTTCAAAGTAACGGAGTGGAGAGGGTCTTGGTGGGAGTTGCTCTTGCTGAGCTGTGTAAAGCACTATTGTCTTGGGGTTGACCCCTAGGGCAGTTCTTGGTAGGTTCTGCTGGGCAGAACACATGGGTTAAATCTCCGCAGAGAGCTTTCCTCGTCCTCCATCCACAAGTGTCCTTCCAAGAGAGGTCCCACTGTAGGCGGTAAGCAGGGACCCCTTCTCTTGAACCTCTGAGGAAAGGAGGAAGAAATGCTTCTCAACCTTGGATGCGAACCTTTCAAAGGGCTACATGTAACCAATGGGTCAACCACATGCACATCATTACCACAGAATCCGTCCTTTCATTTCAACGTATAGCAAGCTATGATTTTTATATATAAATATTATATAAATAATGTATAAAACATTAAAAGTTAACTATGTAAAATATTATTTCTGAAACAATTTTAGCTATATCCACTACGATTATAAACGGTGTCTTGACCTGTGTTATTTACTTTAGCTGCTTAAAAAAGCATTGAGTTAATTTTTTAAAATCTCGACTAAAAATATCGTAGCTCTGTGGTAGCCATTGTTTTACAATGAGAGAAATAACTGCAACTAGAGAAAACTGTATAAAAACATTAAATTGTCAGTATTTTTGTAAGATTCCATTTTGTAAAGAGAATAATATTCAAAGACTTTTGTAGCATACAAAGTGAAAACTTGTATCTGCGAAACTATACTTGTATTAAATGTGCTTTTTAAATAAAAGCTCATAACACAACTAAGTAAAGCATTGGAAGCCTGGCTGTGTGGCAGGTGTTTGTCTTGCATGGACCTGTGGGTAGCAGATGGAAATTGCAGGCTAAGGCTTTGACAGGGCCTCTTCTCAGGGCCGTAGGCCCCTCTTCCCTCACTGGCGGCTGTAGGAGAGATTCAGATGACCCCACTGCTCCTTCATTGATGGAAGCTGTTTCTAGAGTGAGGCTCTGACTCCACTTTCATCTGAGGCCCTTCCAAAGAGCTTTGTCTTCTCCAAGGGGTTTTCACCAGGAGGGTGGGACCTGTGGATCCCCCAAAGTCAGATAAGGAGCCGTGCTCTAGATAAGGAGAACTTGGGGAGCTTCTTGGGGTTGGGGGATCCTTGAAGCCCACCTGAAAGGAAGAGGTGCATTGGGAAAATGGCATCTGGCTCTGCTTTCCTTCCTAGCACTTCACCAACCTGGAAGCAAAGGGGAAGGTAGGAATTTACATTTACCATGCACAGTGTGCCGGGCTGCGAAGGCTATTTGCTCCTTTTTGTCCTGCAGCAGTTTTTATTTTGAGAAATAAGGAATACTAAGAAATGCAAAGATACAGTGACCTCTGTGATCCACAAGTGATTCACTGCAGGAAAGATTTTATGATAGCTTCCCTGTTGTGAATCTGGTGGTTAAAACCAGGCGCACCGATTATCCTACACTTGTGGAGGCTGCAGGGGAGAAGCTCTTTCCTCGCCTCTTCCAGGTTCTGGAGGGCCCTCCTCCATCTTCAGGGCAGCAAGGGTGAGCCAGGCCTCTCCATACGGGTCTTTTGTTCTCCCTTTTTGCCTCCCCTTCCACAGTTAGGTGCCTTGCTGATTCGATAGACAGACCCACTCAGATAATCAGGATAGTCTACCTATGTTAAAGCAGCTGATTAGCAAACTTAATTTTGTCTGCTACTTCAATTCCCCTCTGATGTGTAATACAACGTTACGATGCCAGGGATTAGTGCATGGGCATCTTTAGGGACCATTATTCAGACTATACAGTTCATCTGCAGACCCCCAAGATTCATATCCATCCCACCATACAAGATAAATTCATCTTGTCCCACTGTCCTACATTACAGCATCAACTGCAGATCCAAAAAGTCTCATCTCATTCCCAATTTAAGCATCACAACTCTCGTGACCTAAGCTAAATCATCTACATTAGATGAGAATAAGTCTGATTTAAGCCACCCTGAGACACAGCCGCTCCCCATCTGTGAACTTATGGAACTCAAGTAACAAGTCACCTGCTTGCAGCGAGGGACACGGGTGGGATAACTGATATGCCTGTCTCAAAGGGGAGACAGTGGAAGGAGGAAAAGCAGAGTCCATTTGTTTTTGAAGGTTGGAAGTGAGCCACATGGCTCAGACTTCGCTGCCTGCCACCAGGATCACTGTGCTGCTTGTAGCTGGACAAAGTAAGCCCCCAGCAACTTGTCAGCACTTTTCTGTAAGTGGCTGTGTCCCTTTAGGTCCTAAGATGTAGGTAGTGAGATCCTTAAGGCCAGAGTTCAAATTTTCACTTCACATCTAAGTCCAGAGAGACAATAATAGTCTGGTGGTGAGGTGTGACTGGGTGGGGCACTCGGGGGAACTGCTGGTTCTAGAACCCAGGTTTCCTGGTACTAGCCCCTCATCACTCCTTAAACCTCTCCCAAGGTACTTGCACACTATCCTCAAGAAGAAATCAGCACATTCCATGGAGACACATGGGAAAGATGGAACTGCACTCAGGACATCTGTGCCACTCTGAGGGGCAGCCGGAGGTAGCAGGAGAATATGCGGACTTGGGACTTAGACCAGGCTACGGTCTCAGCTCCACCACTTCCTGGATATGAGATATGCCTTTGGGTACATATTCTGAACCTCTTGGAGCCTTGGATTCTTAGTAAAGCTGAGATTCATAATGCCTGCTCTTATACCTCTTTGTTCATGCTATCCTCCCAGCCTGGATCCTCAGTTCTCAAAATGCAGTGTCCAGACTAACATCTGTTTCCTGGGGACCTTAGTAGATGCACAAAGCTGGAAGCATCTCCACACCTAGACCTGCAGAATCTGAATTCCTCTATGAAGAAGATTCCCAGATGACTTATGCAGAGGTTCCAGTCAGGTGTGCACTGCTCCTAGTCACCTCTGCTAGGCATGGCTCAGTCTGTGGTGGAAAGATATCAATAACCTCTTAGCTTTAGGTACCAGATTTACACTATTAAAGGTCTGTATCAAGGCTGTAGGATTCTCAGGGCCCTCTCTCCGAACTCCTGCCTTCCTGCCTGGCCCTGAGTAATAATAGTTCCTGGTAATTGTTGAGCCAGATAACCAGCAACCAGGTCAGAAGTCACATGACTCTTGGTGACTACTCAGTTAAACAGGCTGCAGGCATCTAACTCTTTAGGAGTTAGAATATATAGGAGCCAGTGAGAATATATATACATTTTCCGAGGTAAAGATAAAACAACTTTCCAAGCCCTAAGTATATATACAATTTCTGTGACGTACAATGAATTCGTATACTCCTTAGCTTATTTCAAAACTTTTCCAAAACACTGCGATGTGCAAATGACTGAGTGAAGTACTTCATATGGTTTGCTTCATTTAAATCCTCAAAAAAGTACTGAGGGGGGCACCGGGGATTTGGCTCAGAGGCACAAGGCCTGCCTGGCAAGGGTGAGGTCATGAGTTCAGTTCCCAGTACCAGAAAAAAAAAAGTACTGAGGGGGAAACTGAGGCTCAGGTTAGTATCTTGTTCTAGTTCCCACATCTAACAAGGGCAAGACCTGGAATTCAGATCCAAACTATTTCAACTACTCATTGACTAGTATGACTAATTACTTCTTGTGTACCGGACATCAGCATTGACTGGCATTACTAGTTACTTCCTGTGTACAAGGCACTGGTAGGGCAGCGCTAAAACAGATGGGATCCCAGTTTCAAGAAGCTTAAAATCTAGAGGGGAATGTACACAGTCATCCCGCAAATGTATAATTAAGAGGTATGATGAGCTTCAGGAAGAGAGTGTCCTGGAAGCTGTGGGAGCTGTCAGCAGGAGAACCTGTCTCACTGAGATCCACCCAGGCCAAAGCCTGTTTACTTCACTCTTCTGCCCCAATAAAACAAATGAAAATAATCCTGCCCAATGCAGGTCTAGGGGAAGAAACAAATGAGTAAATAAATAACTATTGTAGTGTGATGGGGAGGGTCTTTTATGAGTTGCTGCAGAGCGTGAGTGAATCAGAAAGCCTTTGATCTCTGTTGTGGACCTTCCTACTCTCTGTGACCCTCCCTTCTAGAAGATCCAACTCTAAAAATTGTCAGTTTTGTTGCATGAGCCCTTCCAACTATGATAAGTATGTGAGTTCTCAAAACGCTGAAGTGCACACAATTGAATGGGGTTCCTTCACACCTCTTTCTGAAAGAAGGTACTGAATGAAAGGCCCTGGAGCTACAGAGAGAAACAGAAAGAAGAGGCAGGTTTGGTTGCTTTCCTTTGGTTCCAAAACTCTGTTAATGAAAAAAAAATGGAGATACAATCTACATTTAAAACTTTATGATGAGACTTCCAGGAAGATGGCAGAGTGGTGAACAGCAGAAAAGGAGCCTCTCCAAGATTTGCTGTCCAGATGCTGGACTACAGCATGAGGAAGAGAAGAAGGAGGGAGGGGGGTTCCCAGGACACAGCAAATACCTGAAGCCAGAACTGAAGCCCATGGGGAGAGCAAAGAGAGAGGCTTCAATAAAGAAGGATGTGGCAGAAGGTGCTTTTTCCCTGAGCTCTGATTCACTGTGTGGGAGGGTGGCTCAAACCTGCAGATGCATGGTGGCTACCAGTAACCCCAAAGGCCTCCATGGAGAAATGCACCAGTGGAACGGAGCAGTAGATAAAGCGGACTGCAGTGGCTGGTAAGTTATTTGGATTGAGATGTCCCCCAGGAGTGGGTGATTGCCCAGTCACTATATTGGAGAGGGGTCAACTGAGGTTGGAACTCAGAGCAGCCATGGGCTGGCTCCACCTAACAGTCCCAGTGTCAGGGTGAGGCAGAACCAAATTCAAGTAGGCGCAAGGTCAAGGAGCCAAGATCAAGCTGGCAGGAGACACAGGGAGAGTTGCAGGATGAACAGCTCGGGTTCCAGCCTCACAACCAGGAACAAGCCTGAACTTCACTGGAACTAAAGGTGCAGGCTTACTAGGATTATCCATTACCTTGCTGTAAATCTATGGCTAGTTTGCTAGGATTACTCAGCATGGATCGGGACTCTGCCTACCCTGTCTACCAGTGACAGCAGAGACACACTCTGAAGTGGACATTTTTTTTTCTTTTCTTGTTTTTCTTTTGTTTCATCTTGATTGTTCTTATTTTTATATGAGTGTGAACATTGTTGCTAATTTTGTTGTTCTGTTCTTGATTTTATGTCTTCCTGCTCTCTTTCACTCATGTCTTCTTTGCCAGTTTCCCATAGTTTGCATAGTCTTGCTTTGTCCTCCAGCCTTTTTTCCAATCTCTTCCTCTTCTTCTATTTCTCTCCTTTTACCCCTACCCACTTTTAAATTTTCTTCCCTGAAGGTAAAATTGCCATATTGAAAGCATATCTATTGTGTACACTGAAAACTACTACAGTACTCTGAAAAAGGCCATTGAAGAGGATATCAAAAAATGGAAAGCTATCCCTTGTTATTGTGTAGGAAGACCAATATAGTAAAAATGGCCATATTTCTAAAGCTGTTATACAGATTTAATGCAATCCTGATCAAAATACCAATAGCCTATTGCACAGAATTAGGGAAAACAATTCTAAAATTCATTTGGAACCAGAGGAGACCCAGAGTAGCAAAACTTAATTTGGGGCAACAAAGGCAATACATGGAGCATCACAATCTCTGACTTGAAATTATACTATAAAGCTACAGTGATAAAAACAGTATGGTACTGGCAAAAAAGCAGACTCCAGGATCAATAAAACAGATTAGACAATCCAGAAACAACTCCAGACACATTCAGCCACTTTACCTTTGACAAAG